ACAATATTAAAAAAGTCTGTGACGGAGGTAAGCCAACTTACTGTTGTTTGACCCCTTTTGTAGATATCTCGTAGTGGCTGCAAGTCGATTAACACCAAGAAGATCGGTGAATACATAAAGCTTTATCTTCACAAATACCACAAATTCCATAAGATGCAAGCGCGTCAGAAAGCTGCATTGGAAGCTCAACAATCTACTGTACAGTAATTACCGTGATCCATATGACTTGTAAATAATAATAAAAACGTCATCTTCTCAGACATTTTTCTTGTCAAAAGACTTAAATATCTCTCCACGCGAACTTTTCTCTCCTCTTTCGTCATATCAATATTCGTAAGCTCATGTACTATAGTTAAGCTTATTTCATTTAAAACCTTGGCCCTATTAGCAACACGTCCTAGAGTTTATAAGTTTTAGTAGTTAAGATACTTCCCGGTTGCCGGAGAAAAAACTACTTAGTTCACAGCTAGACATTTGCCGCAACAAAGTCTAAGTCGTTAACCATTTAGTTTAGCTTCGGGTCTTTGAATTTGAGTTAACACATCTACCTGATTGTAGCTTTTCAAAGCTACGTCTTTTACATGTAATATGTTAGACTATAACTCTGGAGGTTTATAAGTCTGGCTACGAGACATAAGTGGAGCCCTTATCCTGCTTTTGCGACGTAAATGGACACGGTAGAGACCACAGACTGTTAACGGTATTTGCTGCGTATTAATTTTCGGTGCGGCCAAACATCGTTAGGTGGCTCACTGGTTTCATTTATTATGTCTTTTTGCACTGCTTGAGAAATGTTTGCATATAGACAAGAAGCTTCAAAACCGCAGAGTGAAACGTGGAGCACAAATGACTTAATGTTCGCCAGAAGGTTTCGGTGTTTGCTATGTACTTGTACTGCTTGTGTATCAAACCTAGACGGTAGTATTAATCTTACGCTCGTGTGGAGGACCTTTCACACTAGAATCTAGATTTGTTAGTTCAGCGGTGGATATCGACTGCGTCTAACAGCGTTTACTTGGGGAAGTTCGTGCCGTAGGAAGAAGGACGCCTCATGTCTTTTCTTTATTTATCTATTCAAGAAAATTCCGATTCTTTCAATCGCTCACCAAAACCAGGTTGCTCGTTTACTAAAGAAGCGAATGTCCTGCATTTCCTGACTGCCTTTACTTCGGCCAAATTCCCCGTTCATACCCTGCGATTTGTCCCACCTTCATGCGTTACGCGCTTTGAAGGGCTGCCGTGTTTCATGGAAAGTCAGCTGGAGGTTATAAAAGCACAGTTGCGTCTACGATGACTTCCGCGTCTGCTTAAGTGATCTGCCTGCGAGTCTTCTTTTTATCCAGGTTGCTAATGTGTTTTGAGACCTAGCCAAGGATGTCGGTCAGGCCAACCTCGAAATATTTTTATTCGGGTCGAAATTCGTGGGCTGACGCTTGTTTTTATGATTTTTTCTTAGATGAGAACTTCACTTTGCAAGTCGAAAACCATCTTGAAACAGACAGACTCTAGGCAGACTGAAGTTGTTCTTTTTAGTTGGCACTCACCTAGCGCGTCTATCTACTTTTAATTATGGGGATCCTTAACTGTGGATCTCATTTTTGTTGAACATATCGTAGTCGCCCATTATAATTTATCGGTTGCAGGCTCCTAAGCGGAGGCTGAGCCAGTGTAAATACCATCCACAAGGACCCTAAACTGCTAGGCAATCTTTTACTCGAATTCACTTGTTAGCCAGTCCAGCAACTGTGTTTCGGTAGCCGATTGTACACCCGCTGGTAAAGCGGCTTCTTGCAGCTGCATCATGCAACTGCCAAAAACAATGAAACCTGTGTCGGTTTGTAATTATTAACTATGCTAACAATATCCGAATCGGCATCGATGTTCGTGTGTGGACTGTCACTCTGAGATTACGTGGTTATTCTACTGTCATGGTGCTACGTTGAGGTATGTATGCCCATCTTTAGGGATTGAATTTAAAATCTTTTGTCTCCAAGATCACTATCCAAATTAACAAATTCCTTCGCAATTAAGTTAAATTGTTGTTGTTTATTAATGTCATATCAGTCGAAATCTTCTAGACTGCGCATCTTTTTTAGAGTTCGCACTTATGATTCACATAAACACTAACAGCGGTCACACATTCTGTCAGTTTGTTCATTTGACTGATTCAAAGCCGAATTAGAAGGCTTCACAGGCGTCGAATGGAGGATACACCTATCGGGTTCAATCGAGGACCAGTTTCGTCGGTACCTTCCCCGTTTGGCCTACAGTTTGACCCATTGTGGCGGAAGCTGTCGTGGAACTCAAAAGTGCCAACATACCGGTTTATCGTAGTGCGAATCCTGATATGCTCATTTTAGCTTCGGAAAAATTAATCCTCGGGGCTGTTTTTGTTGCTCCCAAATCAAGCTGAGGGGGAAGACCGTATATCTGAAGCAGTTTGTTAGCATTACGTCGCTGTGTAGCTAAGCTCTCTGATATACTGTCTCAATTAGGCGGCAAGTGTTATCAGATAGTTTTTAAGTTTAGGGGCAATCCTTATTAGGTGGTTTCTTGCTCTTACCTTTCTCTATTGCCCCAAATGTTCAAGCAACATATCGCATGCCACAGGTGTAGTTAGACGCGGGCGCAGGCACATCGTCTTAGGTCATTTTTGTTGCGTATTTAATGATGCTGCATAAATTACACCTGTACATCAACTAATACTCTGTGCAATGATGGGCCCTAAGACAATGTGCGCGCCTTGTCCAC